GGGAAAGATTTTTTTCCTAGAAATAATTGCTTATACTTAAAATCTCTCTCTAGAAGCTGGTAAAAATAAGTGATTGTTTCTCCAAAATAAGGTGAACTAAACATGCACGTAATACCCAATAACTTGATCATGCATGATGATGGTTGTTGCTTATGATTGTTTCTGATATGCAGGACGGATAGTGCACTGAAGTTTGGTTGGTTTTTCATGTTCTACTTGGTATAGTAATCTGTTATTCTATTACATTATATTACTGGCTTACTGGTGCTGAACTGTTGCCTTACTAATTCTTCTATTAATTACTTTGGCTTGGTGCAGCTTCATATTGTATTTTGCGTCTTTGCTGCGATTGCGCCTCCAATTGTTTTTCATGGAAAATCATTAACGTAAGTCCTATGAGTTGTATTATATATTTTATTTAAGTTCCATGAATTTTTGATCTTTTTATCTGGTTTGTATCGGGTGTGTAACGGTCAGGTGAAGTATGGTTTAATAGCCAAGTGATCCCAAGGAGGAAGTTTTAAAAGCTTGTAGTTGTGAATGGCTTTTTCTTTGTATGATGGGAGGAAGATTACTATATTTGGATGTTTTGAAACCAAATATTCCTTTATCAGCTTGTTCGGGAAAAAACACATGAATGTAAGAAAATGATAGAGTCCTTCCCTGGGGGGAGGGGGTTGAATGATCATTTATTCCTCATTACATTATGTAGGCATATGCAAGCAATAGAACATTACAACGTGATTATATGTTTTGATGTTTTGTCATATCATTGAGATTGAGATTGAGTTGGGGAAGAAAAAACTGCCGTGGCTCTAAATTGGATTCCTCTTAAATGACACTTAAATACTTTGTTTTTTGTTAAAAGGTAGTTAGATGCCATTTTGTGCGGTTATGCCATGTCTTAGTCAGATGTCTTTGTGAATGTATTAAGTAAGTATATATTTTAAATTGCAGGGGCATCCTTGCTGCAATTGATGTCTTCTCAGACCATGTATTGGTTGGGGTAAGTTGTATCCTATACACGCAGATTGGCATTTATCTTCTTGTTTGTTGAAATTGTTCACTATGTTTCAGAATATCATCATGTAATATTAATGAGCCATGAACATTTTATTTTCTAAGGTTGTAACTAATATAGCAAGCTATTTGTTGGTCAAATATATTATACAGGATATTTAGATATTTCTCTTCATATTTTTCATGCATTGCTCGAGTATTGGAATTTCACAAATGAGGTTCTTTTGCTGATGTAATATCTGTTTATCAAATTCTTATATTTGGCATTTATATATTTATAAAAATTTAAAGGTAAATACACATGGAGGCTAGTAGTCTTCTCAAGTTGATTGCCCCCTCCTCCTTTATAAATTGTAGTTATGATCATATGTACAAGCCAGTGGCAATAAGTTTCAAAGTTGAATTGAAGTTATTGATTTTGGTTGACTTTGTTTGAGAAATCAAAGAAAATGATAATCATGGACTAACTGGGGGGATTTTCATTAGATGAAGGGATGTAGACTTTTGTGGGAATTGGACATTTATGGAAATAGATTGAGTGCTTCTCAGCTTCTGTAAGGCATGGGTGCTGTGAGCTTGCTGTTGTATTAAGTTTTCATCTGATCAAAACAATCTTGATGCCCTGAACTATCAAAGGATAGGGGGAGAAACATTTGCTCACATTTAGTAACTCGTTGAAGTAGAAAATTTCCCAACGTTTGTTTTGAATTTATAGTCTATAGTGTTGGAAAAGTCGAGCTCCATAACCTTTTGCCTATTCTTACTTGTTTGGACCCATCCATGTTTTGTATTCTTGCAGATATTCTATTTGGTTGGATTTGGCATGTTTTGCTTGGAGGCTCTTCTAAGCTTGTGGGTGCTTCAGGTGAGGGACATTTTCGTTAATTTCTTTCTTTTATTTTATGCTTCTCAGCAATGGGAGAAATGATGAAATTAAAATATTATGAAGATGGACTTTCTTTTTGTGTGTGGATATTTTATTGTTTTTGTTCATGCGTTGTGATCTAGTGTATGTACTCCTATTGTAACAACTAACAACAAACAACAGGAAGTTGCTTTAGATGATGGATGGACTAAAAAGACCTGTTCAGTTTGATTGGTGTTTCTGTGGGGTGGATGGTTGTGTGGCGGTTTTATTTTAGTTCTTTTAACTAGTTCAAGATTTCTGCTTTGTATGTTCTGAAAAATTTCATGGTTCGCTCTTTTCTCTTTTTCATCCCAGATTAGTTTTTGATTTGTAAAATCAATAAACAGTAACTTTTTTAACGGTCTTTATATTTTCAATGCTATATAGACAGGAAGTAAAAAAAAGAGGGGGGAAAACTATAAAAATACATGATTGTTTTGTTTATTTGTGGAGCATTTAAAACTATTGTGATAAAACTCATTTGAATTATAGAGAGAAGAGGGAGGAAATTAAGTTTATCCAATGTTTATTTAGCTATTCTCATGTTAGGACAAACTAACTTTTTTTATACATGTTTAAGATCATTGCTTAATGATTGTTTCCTTCTCTTTTGTTTCTGCAGAAAATATACATGTATTTCCGGGGGCATAAGTGAGACTGTTCTCGGGATTTTGATCCAACGGCTTTTATAATGTCAGTCACTTCACAGTGTGGCTTAGCATATTCTTTTTGTCTATCTTATTTTTCTTCATGTAATATCTTTGTGTGATATTGGTCGTGTTCATTGTAGTGATTGTACCAGGTTTAGTTTGTACGATACTATGTAATGAATTCTGTGAAGTTCAGTATATCTACTAGTGTATTGCCCTCCAGTGAAAAGAAAATTTACTTTCGATAAGCAGATATATAGGGGATTTCCTGTGAAGTACTACTGTTGTGGTGGTAATGCAGTTGTGATGCTCCCAAAGAAGCTAGTCCTCCAAAATTAAATGATTATGATTCCGATTAAGTTGATTTTTACTGGAATTAGAAACCACTTTATACATTATCATGATACTATCCACATCTTCCAATTTATTTACGTTTCCCAAGTAAAGCTATGGATAGTGGAGGGAATGGGAGACATTGTGATTACCAATCCTGTGTTGTTTTGTACTCTTACCCACTCTTAACAAGTGGAGTGATGTTTTAGGTTATTTTATACCAATACTTATTTATTTACATAACTAAAAACATTTTCAAGCTATGCCAATTTATATATAATTGAAATTTATATTAATTAGGTATATAGAATATATAAATTATATTATAATCATATTATATAATAATAAATAAATATACTTAAATATATAAATCATACTTTAAATTTATAATAATTGAAACTTATTTAAATTTTAATATAAGTTTATTTTTAGTTTTTTATAATTATTTTAAAAGATTATTGAAGTTAATTTTAAGATTAAAAAAGAGCTATAATGAAAGAGATAAACAATTTAAAATACCAAATACATAAATAAAGATAGAAGAATGATAGTGTTTTATTTTTTGTTGTTGAGATAATTAATAGAATTTTTTTTGATTAGTTATAATTCTTATGCTGGCTGTTGTGAAATAATCATCCAACAGAGAGAGAGTATTAAAAATGTTTGAGTGGTGGAGTCTTTTATTCTTCAAAATTCAAATTATGTGATCTAATTTATAATATAAAATAGACATTATGACATTATGTCAGTTTTTCACGCGTTTAATAAATACGTACAGTTAGTATAAACACATTGTTAGTTAATAAAACCTTTGTTAGTATAATTCTTAAGATAATTATTTTATAAAAACTATGTAAATATTTAAATCAAATGACAACGTAAAGAAATCTTTACTGTAAATGCATACAGTATTTATATTCTTCTCACATTATATTCAACATAAATATTCACGTGATTAAATTCACTTTAAAAGCTTCTTTATGTTTTAACATTTAACCATTAAATCCATGTTATGTTCGTTTCCTCTATTTACAAATGATACTTCAAGGGTAACAAACCAAAGGATAAGGGCAAAACAAAAACTAATACTATACCAAAAAAAAAAAGTAAAATGAATAAGCAAATAGGATCCTACCTTTGTGGCTTGTGGAAAGCATCACGCTGTTTACAAAAGTTGACTCATTTTGGAAAGAAAAAATGGGATCCGACTTTTTTTTTCATTTTTATTGACTCATTTTGTGTCACAGTTTGGTTGTTTGCGTTACCTACGTAAAGGGCTGAGTGGGTTAACCCTTAAAAGTTAAAATGTCCCAAAAAGCATGCACATGTTGTCCATTTACTAAGTACTAATAACCCACAGCAACGTTCTTTAGGTTCTATTTAATAATATTCTACGTGGGAAAGTGTAATATAATATTGCACGAGGCTTATGCTACTAGAATGTCTTGCACCAAACTTGCGTAGCATATTGAGATGTCATTTTTATAATAGTTTCCACTTTCCACAATCGCGTATGCTAAAACCATTCTCCTTGGGTAGTAAACGCCAATGGTTTAGTGTTCGTAGTTAGTTATAATCCAGAATGATTTTAAATTTTAGAACTTGGATTCATTTGCATTTTAAACAATCAAAAAGTTAAAATTGATCACTAACTCTTAGACAAGTCTTTCTGAATCTATAATTATGTTGACATGCAAGGGCCGGCAGTGCGTGTGCAACTGACCAAATTCTCTTCTTTAAGTTTTGGAAAATTGGAAGTCAAAGGCATACTTTGATTGGTTGGAAAATTACCACAATATAAACTCATTATATTGGTTGAACTGAAACATCTTCGTAAACCTTTATTTATTTGTTTATTCTTTTTATATAATCAGAAGGTATAGATTGACCTATTAAATAAGTTTTAGACCTTCTGTCCTTGGAGTCTCTTGGGAAAATATTCTAAGAATTATCTTAATAAAGGTAGATGTTTCTATTTTAGAAATCTTAAATATAGACTTTCAATAATTTTTTCGAAAGAGAAAAAAATAGATTTATATTTTGTTAATATGAGATGTAAATGTAGACTTCTTTTTTATATATGTGATAACTGTCGTAATATTATATAAGATATGTCATTAATTAAAAAATATTTGAATAATAAAAGGAATAATATAATAGGAAATATAACATTAGACTAAATATACACCATTCTTTTTTTAATAGATGACGTAAGATGCAAATATATTCTCCATTAAATTCTCAAATTTGAGTTTTGACTTTTTCAAGCTGAAAAGTTTGTAGGTTTAACTATATTAATATTACTTGGTAAATAACTTTATTTTAGTTGTTTCAGCTTGTAGTGTTTTGTGATACACTACTTCAAATGTTATAGTTTTTAATTCTTATATTATATTTTCCTTTTACTCTTAAACTATTTATCAAATTTACTTTTTACCATTTAAATTATAATTCATAACATCATCTCACATTATTCATTTTTCTAGTTTGTACTACCAATACCATTATTGTAATGTCTATTATTACTATTAACATCATCATTAATATTACTAATTATTATTATTATCATCATCATTATTTTACATATATCATTATTAATTATTGTCATGGAAGTGTTAGCAACACACTTTCTGATATATTTATTTTTAATAATTAAAATTTATTAAAAATTACAAAATTACAATATAATCATTAAATAAAAATGTGAGATGAATCAAATTTTGTTTTTCAATAATTTCTTAGCAATAAAAACGTGTTTAAAAGAACGTGACAAAAAATGTTGTTAGAGTTTTTTTTCTTATTATATTATTATAAATGCTGCTCACTCACTTCATTAATATTACTACTATTACTAATTTTACCATTACTATTAATTATTATTATCACTACTCCCATTGGTTTTTTTTGTTTGACATCGTTAAAAGTTTTTGCATAAAAATTAAGAAAATGATTGATATTTTAATTTTTTAAAATATTTATTATTTATTTTTCTGTTATACCTATTAGGTGGTTAGAGAAAAAATAGATACATTAGAAATGAATAAACACGTTATTCAGTAAACACACATTAATTATCAAGAATAAAAATAAATAAAAAACTAATAAATAAATAATTTTAAAAAAATAATAATAAAAAAGAAAAAAAAAGTGTCAAAACAATTATGAAAAAAAATAAAATAAAGGAAGTACCACTATCACCGTTATTTTGTTATCATCACGATCACCTATCTTTTATCTCACAAGTCTTTTGTTGTTTTCCATTGATCCTATTGCCATCAATATTATTGGTTCTTGTGAGTTATTTTTTCCTTAAACCTAATTTAACCTGCCCATGACTATTCATAGTCATTAGTTAGGCATGTCAAAATGAAAATGAAAATGAAATTCAATTTAAAATTACAATTCTATACTTAAATTTTTCGCTGTTGTATTTCAAATATAAGAATTATGACTCTGAACAAGTTTTAAATTTAACATAATTAAAAATTAGAATTACAGTTCTGATTCTCCCCGCTCCTTAAAATATTTAACCATATCATTTTACTCTTTAATGAATTAAGTGATTGGTAACAACAATTTCTTTTTAGGCTACCTTCCATGTGCATTGTAGATGGAGACCATGGCCACATATTAGTGATATTATTATTACCTTCACTGTCAGTAGTATTTGACCATGTGGTTCTTACTAGCAATAAAAATTTCACGTTTTGTGGTTATGAGGCATATGCTTTTATACCTCCGCACCTTGTCATGAGTCATGAATGATGAATGGAAGAAATGTGGTCCTTCATCAAACATGGTCTCCAACTTCCACTGGCAAGACTTAACAGTTAACACATGACTATTGATCTAAAACAAAGAAAGGAAAAAAGGGACACACACGTAGCTAGGACTGGTAGAGTCCAAGAGACAAAGATAGAATTGGATGGCACACACTTCACTCGAAATCTACTTCACTCCACACCCCTAATCCCTCATCTTCAAACAGCCACCAACATCATGCCACGTGGCATGTCAAATATCCAAGCCGCATTAACCACTCAGCTCAACCATGTTTCTTTGCATCACATAACCTCATCATCAAATTCCCCTTTTTTTAAATAACTTCAATAATGCTAAAATATCTGGTGTTGCTTTTCTCCTAGTATATTTTCTTAAAGAGAAAAATACTGAAAAGACAAGTATACCCTTTTCCTATGATTGATTTTGATCAAACACTTCTTTTCTATCATTAAAATCACCTCCAAAGTTGTCCAAAACAAGGGGTAGTCACAGAAATCCCTAAACAATAACGCACCATTTTTTCTTTTCCTGCTTAGCCTTTTGTTTTGGTTATAATTCCACCTCATATTTTATGTGTTCCAAACTTCTTCTTGGAATGTCCCCTCCATAATAATCCTCAAACAAAAGCCACCAGAGAGAGAGCAAAGCTCATTCTCTTTAGAGAGAGCAAAAAAGAATGGCAGCTTGCACTGTCTACTCAACACAATCTCTGAGCACAAACTGCTCCATCTCAACCCCAGCAAAGACACAACATGGTTTTCACCAAAGACAGGTAGTTTTCTACACCACAAGCAGGAGGAACAGCAAGAGGGGCAGCCTCAGTGGCAGCAGCAGGTATGTGATAACATGTGCAGCTGGTGACTCACAGACAGTGGTGATTGGCCTGGCAGCTGACTCAGGTTGTGGTAAGAGCACCTTCATGAGGAGGCTGACAAGTGTGTTTGGAGGAGCAGCAGAACCACCAAAGGGTGGCAACCCTGACTCCAACACTCTCATCAGTGACACCACCACTGTCATATGCTTGGATGATTACCACTCTTTGGATAGAACTGGCAGAAAAGAAAAGGGAGTCACTGCTCTTGACCCTAGAGCCAACGATTTTGATCTCATGTATGACCAAGTTAAAGCCCTCAAGGATGGAATTGCTGTTGAAAAACCTATTTACAACCATGTCACTGGCCTCTTGGATCCACCTGAGCTCATCAAACCCCCCAAAATCTTAGTCATTGAAGGGTTGCACCCAATGTAAGTAGTGTTTCATTAAACTAATGTTAAATCCTTGTTACCTTTTCATGAAACATTTGTCATGACGATATTATCATGATTCAAACATATCTGTACATACATTTCTAACTCTACGTGCTGCTGGACTAATTTTGATGGTTCTTTTGTATTGTATAGTGAATCTTGAGATGGAGGGGATATATGTTACTGTTGTTTGAAATTCTATGAGCTTTGTTTTTTGATTCAAAGATGTGGAATTAAATGTGACACGAGTCGTTAAGCTGATACCTTATCCATCTTTATATGATTGTATGGCTGAGGAATTTGGTAGCGACTTTCCAACCTTCCCATGTTTGGTGGGCCAGCCAACATGGATTCACTGTTACTCTTATATATAGTAACAGAGATATGTTTATGATTCAAATCACGGGGCACAAAATCTTCTTGACTTGGATTCTTTCAAAACGTTAGGCTCATGAAATTAATATTTAGATGGATTTTGACTTATGCTTATTTTTTCCTTACATTTTTTTAATCCCTTTTTCCCCTTTCATCACGTGGAATATACTTTCTCCAGTTTTATCTCTCTTCTTCTTACATCTCACACTCGTATAGGAGTGTAAAAAAACATTATTGTATTTGAATTTTACCTCATAGAATAATTAAACTTTTTATGTCTAAACTGAATAAATGACTATTACATATACTGATCACTCCGCTAATATGGCTAAGTTTCTTGATCATTTTTGTAAAATGTTTCTCTACATGATTCGTCGTACGTAGTAGTCTTTGTAATTTCTTTGCTAGTCATATAATATTTTATTACAATACTATTTTTTCTTTATGTTTTTCATAACATTAATAATATCATTATACATTATTTATCTGTGTTTCTGTACGAAATGTTGTAAAAAAATTAAACATAATTTCTCTTTCTGCTTTTGGTGCGTGCGATGACCATGTTTATTTAGTTACTACCCAATTCAAATATAGTCTTTAAGAATCATTCTGGTACCCAATTCAAATGATTCCACTCACCCTTTTTTAATTAATATTTTAACATGATTCAGTAAAAAATGATAATCAAATTGACTAAACAATATAATTAAAGTCTACTAAAATATTACCGAAAAAATATTTTTCCATGTAACACTAAAGTGCATATTTGATAACTAAATTTAGAAAAAGAAATATTTATTTTTAAATTTTCTCAAAAATATAATAAAATAAATAACTATTTCTTTAAAACAAGATTGTGAGTTTGAGACTCTTCCTTGCATGCAGGTTTGATCCTCGAGTCAGAGACCTCTTGGACTTCAGCATCTACCTAGACATTAGCAACGAGGTGAAATTCGCTTGGAAAATTCAGGTAAAGATACAATATAATTCAAAAAATTTCCTATATATTCTTTCCATTACTATAAACTAACGATTATTAGACAAATATTTTAGAGAGACATGGCAGAGCGTGGACACAGTCTTGAAAGCATCAAGGCTAGCATTGAAGCAAGAAAGCCTGATTTTGAAGCATATATTGGTATTCAACTAAGATTCCATCTCATGGATAAAAGCCAATCTCAAAAATAACCAATAGTCTTTCAACTTTAACTTATATTTTCCATACTCATGCAACAATTGTGTACGTCATTAAGTGGTTATGTATGAGTTAACTTGTACATTTGTTGTTCACAGATCCACAAAAGCAATATGCTGATGCAGTGATAGAAGTGTTGCCAACTCAACTGATTCCAGATGACAATGAGGGTAAGATTTTGAGAGTGAGGTTGATACAGAAAGAGGGGGTTAAGTATTTTAGCCCAGTTTACTTGTTTGATGACGGCTCCACCATTTCCTGGATACCATGTGGAAGGAAGCTTACATGTTCATACCCTGGCATCAAATTCTTCTATGGACCAGAGACTTACTACGGAAATGAGGTACCAACCCTCTATCCCATATTGTCCAAATCAAAACCCTTTCGCTACACATTCAGGTTAATTCATCCAAATTTGGACAAAAAGAACTAAAAAATTAAGTTAACTAACTTCACATTATCACAAGAATTGCTAAGGAAAAGACTTAAATCTAGTTTCTTAGGTGTTTTTAGTGTTGTTCTCATGTTAGAATTGGAGTTTGATCTCGATCATTTGTTAAGTATCAACGAACTAAATTCTTAAAGTGAAACTCCAATTCTAATTAAAGATAAATACCAAACAAATAACTAAGAAATTGCATATAAGTTTTGACATAACTCTAAAAGAGAGTAACTTTTTAAGTTTTTTTTTTTTACCACAGGTAATCCAGTCCACTATGTAAAAGACTATTCCTACTTTGGATACTGTGATTATCGTTGAACCAACGAGCTTTTGCACACAGCAAGAATCATTGAACACGACAATAAGTTTTCTAAGCTGGTTTAGTTATGAATATACAATAATTAAGATTGTAAAATCTGTCATAAAACTTTACAATTTGAAGATAGTCCACTAGATACTATTAACTAAGAGAATTGAAATAGATTATGGCATGTTCAAAATAAAAAACTATAGTTTCCAAGATCTAATAAGCTGGTATTCATAAAATGGTTGACAGTCATAGAACTTATATTGTGGTTGGTTTTGTTTGTGGAACAGGTGTCAGTAGTAGAAATGGATGGACAATTTGACAGACTAGATGAACTAATTTACGTAGAGAGCCACCTAAGCAACCTCTCAACCAAGTTCTATGGAGAGGTTACTCAACAAATGTTGAAGCATGCTGATTTCCCCGGCAGCAACAATGGCACAGGACTCTTCCAAACCATAGTTGGTTTGAAGATAAGAGATCTATATGAACAGATTATATCCACCAAGGCTGAGACTCCAGTAGGAGCAGCAAAAGCTTAGGAACCTGCCATAATATATATACACATGCCATTCATCAATTCTCATTATCATTTTCTTCTTTCATGTTTTCCACTCTATTTCATGTTATTTTCTTTATCGTTATTAGGATGTTCTGCATCATAATCCAAACACTATGTATGTATGTATGTATGTATGTACTTATCTGAGAAGAAAAAGCGAGGCTGAGATTCACTTATGTTGATACAACATTGAGACAATAATTTCCTTCTCTTTCTCTGCATAGTCTGTGCTGGCATTACGCATATATATATATACTAATAACCATGAATAATTTTTCTTGACATTTTTCTGTGTGGTTTAAAACTTAAATCAAAGTGAACGATCTTTTGTAATTGTAGGTTAACTTTCTTTTCCACTGACCAGAAAGAATTATTTATGCATACCAGGAAAAATGTTCCCTCTTAATTTCATTGAATATCTCAAGCAGAAAATAACACGAGCGTTAAGTTTCATGGTTCATCCTAAAATAAAAATAAAAATTAAAAAAAGCCTACTACCTTAGGTTATTTATTTAGGTTCATCCAAGTATAACAAGAAAAATGTTCCCTCTTTCATTGAATAAAACTCGATGAATATTGGGTCAAACAAAAGTCATGGTATGCCAATTGCAATGATCTTCTAAAAGCAAACAAAAAAGACAGATTCACTATATTGACACTTTTAAAATGGACTTTACACGACTGCTTCATTCAAATAATAATGAATATCAATCAAATTTACACACACTTATATGATTAACAAGATCGAACATATATCTATCATTTCTTTTAGGGGGTTAGACTAATAGGTCATAGCCTTTTACCTGTGATTCTGAGGCTAATTCTTCTTCCGGACATGTACTTAATCTGTTAGTTGCAAAATTTTAATTTATGACCACTTTTAATTTTGTGGCATAATCAATCATCTTCATAATTATCAGAAGGCAAACAGGACTATGAACAAAAAAAAAAATGCTTTAAACATAGAGAAAGAGGTGGCATATCATGGGAAGTTTTTTTCTTTTAACAATAAATGAGATCTATAAATTTGAGTCATATAACCATTATTCATTTATGGATTATCAAGATATATAAAAAGTTAGTTAATGAATAAATAACTACTTATAAAAATCGTGTACATTAATGATCCTTTTTTTTTATCAGCTAAAAGAAATGCATTAAGGAGGCACTAGGGGTGTCAAACCCAAATATAAAAATGTTGAGAAATAAGAAAGGAGTTACAAATAGTCTTATACTACTCCAAAATTATATGTTCCTATCATGAGTAATACAAATTTATGTTCCTATCATGAGTAATTTTTCTTGTACAAATATTATGTGTACATTAATGATCTATATTTATGATTTTTTATTTAATATAATAACAAGAATCATCTATATATACTCTTTGTCTCAAAATAAGGATTGTGTTAGAAGAAAAAATAAGTCTCAAAATAAGGATTGTGTTAGAAGAAAAAATAAGTCTTAAAATAAGTGTCAAGTTAGTTTTTTAATATATTAGAATACCTCTTTTCTATCAATACCCCTATTAATATTAGTTAGAAAGTGATTGTTATCATGTTATATTGTTTCTAATAAAGAAGATAATCATAAAGATAATTTTATAAAATTATTATTATTTTTATCTATTTATTAATTTTTCTTAATCTATGTAAAATAATTTAAAACATCACTTATTATGTTACGAAAGGATTATATTATGCATGTCTACTAATGCTTATAAGACATCTTTTGATCAGTTTCTGTTGTCGCTTATCCATAGTTGAGACTTGTGAATTAGAAATAAATAGAATTAGTAGACTTATTATCTACTAATGCAGTTCAAGGCCTTTTTTTTTTCTTTCAACTAAAAAATGGATGAGAAGGACACAGGCCGAGTGGCAGATGAAGGAGATACAATGCCTTTGGGCCAAAACGTCTTTATGACATCTCCAATTTGGGCTAAAATATCTTTTTGACAAAAATTAACATGCTACTCCACCAAACATCATTTTTGCATTGAAGTATGAGAGCACAACTGAGCACAAGTTAAATATTTGTTTAATAAACTTTTGTTATATGAGGATATAAGTTATAATTTCGATTCTAAAATTTATTCAAATAAATTAAAAATGTTATTTTGATAATTTTTCAAAAACAATATTGAAATAAGTTAATAAAAACTATAAAAGTGAGGAACTTTTTTCATAAACACAAACATAAAAAAAAAAAACATTTATTTACGTGCATTAATTATCAATTTTTCTTGGTTGCTTCTAACATGCTAGCTTCCACAGGTTCTTTCTTTGGATGACATCATATTTTTCAGGCTAGTTTGTAATTACTCCAAATTTGGCGATATGATTTCAGATTTAGCAACTAACCGAATGTGGAAAATACCATAAGATTTTAGTTTGGTGATAACTTGTAAAATTTTACCTTTTTATTGTATAGGTTAGTGGTACAATAAAAATATAAAGAAAGGTGAATTTTATTTTGCCACGTATGACATTATAGTACGATACTTATGAGGGATAGAATGACCCTTTTCCTATTGTATATTGTTCAACTTTAGAACCTACTAGGCTTTTCTTTTTTAACAGACTTTTTAGGCTGTTTTAGAATCTAATTGTGATGATTGTGATAAAGTTGTTGTCGAAGGATCTAGCTACAAATATTTTGATGCATAATTTGGTGGTAATTGAAAAGATGTTTTTTGAGTAACAAAGAGAAATCAGAAAACTTTCTTGGATTAATGATATTGGATCAAATTATGAGAGGAATACTTGGTGAGGGATCGTTCATCTATTGAGAAGCATTTTATCGAAAGTAACATGTGAAGTGGAAAATATCCGATAGTTCAAGAAGCAGTTAGAAGAAGGTATTGAGGATTGAGACAGGTGACATTATCGAGTACGTCAAAATCTAATTATATACATGTCCAAATCTTATAATTTTATTGTTGCTTTAAGATATTTATTTATAAATAGTCTATTATCATTTTTCTTTGCTCAATAACTTTTACACAAAAGTTATGCAAACACCACTTTCTCCATACAATGACTATCCATTTTTAGAGTAATGTATATGTATTTTACTTAACTTTTATGCATTTAATAGTTGGTTAAAAAAAATTAATATATCTTTTATCTTTTTTAACCTTTATCTCAATTATTGTTATGTCAATTATTCATTACTTA